GTTTCTATCTATTCCCCATTTTGCTCTCCTTTCTGTTTATCGACTAGCTCAATTAATTCGGAAAACGGGATATATCTAACTTAAACTACAATCAGGATGATTTTTTGTGTACCCTTCGTTTATTTACTATTATTATTCATAGCCTTTCTTTAGAAAATGAATTAAACAATTATACGAATCTGATGATTCTACTTATCATTCTGCTTTTGGAAAAAGATACCCTCCCGATATATGCTATGGTTGATAGTGGATACAAAGGAATTGTTTTTGTAGATCGAAGTTAAGTATTTTCCCAGAAAATATTAATATATTAATTATCTATAGTATTCGAAGTTATAGGATTTGATGGAAATATTCTGCCTGATAATCGAGTTACTTTCTATATTTAAGTAGAACTTAGAATTAATGATTATATTAAGAAGAAAATCGTTTTGTATATAACCAAACTAGTCTATTATCCTATTATACTAGGGATAGCTTGACTTAAGAAACACAATCCCTGTGTCGACTTCGTAACAAACTCATTCCAATTCGATAGCTTGTTTTGCTACGAATTTTGTAATACTTTGTTCTACCCGTCCTATATAAAAACTCTGCCAGATATTCCTTCAAAAGTCTGATCTGTACATTTGCCTGTTTATCTCGAAGGGTTAAAGAATAAGGATATAGCTGTGATCTCCTTGAAAGCCTGTTCGGCTTACACCCGCTGGAAATATGAAATATTCCAGATATCGATCAAACAAATCGATAATATTCTAAATAAGAAAAAGAAGATATTCAACCCTAAAGACCTATTATTCGAGTTCCGAAATTGAAAAGATATCTTCTCTCTAAAGAATGCAGAAAAGCTATCCTCTCATCAATTATACAACTATGAAATCCGTTTTAAAGAAAAGCTATTCCTCCTTTCAACACTTTATACTCTATATCCTATTTCGAATTAAAAGCCCTAAAAGAATAGCTAAAAGAGAATCTTAAAAAAGAATTTATTCAACCAAACTCCTCCCCCATCGCTTCCCCTGTTTTGTTTGTTAAAAAAGCTGATAAAAGTCTTCGATTTTGTATAGATTATTATACTTTGAATAATTTATTGGTTAAAAATCGATACCTCTTACTATTAATAAAAGAATTTCTGAATAATCTGAAAAGAATAAAGTATTTCAGTAAGATCGATATCATTTCTGTCTTTAATAATATAAAAGTGAAAAAAGAACAGGAATACCTAATTACATTCCATACCCGATTCGGACTATTCGAATCCTTAGTTATGCCGTTCGGGTTGATAGAGGTTTTTGTAACCTTCCAGAGATTTATTAATGATTTCCTATAGGGATATCTGGATGTATTTTGTATCGCTTATCTGAACGACATTCTGATATATAGTTGAACTCGAAAGGAACATATCCGTTATGTCCAGAAGATTCTGTAAGTATTGAGGGAAGTCGGCTTGTTTGTTAAATTTGAAAAGTGCAAATTCCTGAAATCCGAAATCAAGTTTCTAGACCTTATTATAGAAAGCGATGGTATCCGAATGGATCCAGAGAAAATCCGAACAATTGTGGATTGGAAACTGCTTATTAGTGTAATCGACATTTAAGTATTTATTAGGTTTTCGAACTTTTATTAACAGTTTATTAGAGATTTTTTGAAAATCATCAACCCAATGATAGATCTGATCAAAAAGAATATTCTGTTTCTATAGAGCCCTACCTGTTAAGAAGCGTTCAACTGATTAAAGCGAACATTTATCGAAGCACCTATTCTGGTTTTCTTTGATTAGGAAAAGGAAGTGATTATAGAAATCGATACCTCCGATTATATATTCACCAGAATACTTTTCTAATATAATGATAATGGAATACTTAGATTTGTTATATTCTTCTTTAAAAAATACTCAGTAGCTAAATACAACTACAAGATTTACAACAAAGAACTGTTAGCTATTATCCATTACTTCGAAGAATGGTGTCCCAAGTTGAAAGGTGCTACATTATTAATTCAAGTGATTACTGATTATAGAAATCTGGAATACTTTATTACAACAAAACTATTGAACTGTTGTTAAGCCTACTAATCCGAATTTCTGTTTCGATTTAATTTCCGAATTACCTATCGCTTCAAAAAGCTAAATGCCAAACCCGATACACTGATTAGAAGGTTAGAAGATCTTTCTAAGGAAGGGGATAAATGTCTCCTATATTAAAGTTATACTATCCTGAAACAAGAGAATCTAGATCCCGATCTGTTTTCTATTATTATTATTCTAATCGAACCCAAAATTGCCAAAAGAATATATTTCATTATAATCATTTATAGCCAAAGAAACCCCAACCCTACTAATACCATTGACTACTTGGATTCCAATAATACTATAACTTTGCCAGAAAATAGCAAAGTTATAGAGCCTGTAATCCTATATGTCATATCTATACCTAACCTTGCGATACGATTAGAGAACCCAGAAAACCCTTTAAACCTTTCTGTCGATCTGTTTACCCTATTCTATAAAGGCTATCAAATCGATTTTGTACCCAAATCTATTCTGAAATCCCTACAAAAGGGATTCCCGAAATATTCGAAAATCACTCTTGTCGAGTATACCGAAAACAACAATTTGCTGTATTATCAAAGGAAACTATATATTCCCGACTACAACCCCCTGAAAACCTACCTGCTCTGCCTATACTACGAATCGCTTGCTGCTGGTTACCCGTACTGTACCCGAACCTTCGAATTATTATTCCAAAATTACTATTGGCCTGGATACTACAATTATATTACACAATAGATCCGTAACTACCATAATTGCCATTACACTATCCCGAATCGCAAAGGCTAAAAGGGAGTTCTCCACTCGCTCCCGATTCTGCAAAGAGCTTAGCAAGATATCTCAATAGATTTTATTATGTACCTGTCTGAAGTACCGATTTCGATACTATTATAGTAATAATCGATCGATTAACGAAAATGAAATATTTCTTGCTCTGTTATGGTACCTGCAATTCCGAAGAGGTTGCTTGCCTATTCTGAAAGAATATCTGGAAGCTCCATGGCTTACCTCTAATTATTATATCTAATTGTAGAGCTCAATTCGTCTCTGAATTCTGGAAATATATCTGTAAGTGCTTGGATATAGTTGCTAAGTTTTTAATTGCTTATTATTCTGAAACTGATGAACAAATCGAGAGGGCTAATGTGATATTAGAACAATACCTTTGGTTGTATGTAGCCTATTTGTAAGACGATTGGATAAAGTGGCTTTTATTTACTGAATTCTTTATTAATAATGTTTAGTCCAAAAGTATCCAAATAACCCCATTCTTCTCGAACTACGGGTTCCATCCTCATCTAAACTTCGAGCCCACACTATTCCAGAGTAACCATTCTATTGTATAAAATATCAAAGAATTCGTTATTAAAATAAAAGCTATCTTTTTTATATTTATAAACCAAACTAATTACTAATCAAACCTGATATTCGAAGAATACCAATATCTGCTATTCCCCTGCCTATAAATACCTGCCTGGTAACCTGGTTTAGCTGAATATTAAAAACATCAAGACTCTACACCTATAGAAAAAGCTCGATTGGAAAAAACCTCAGGTTCTTCAAAATCCTAAACCCGATAGACCCCTATGCCTATAAACTGAAGCTCCCAGCCTCGATAAAGATTCATCCTGTTTTCTATATCAACCTACTATATCCTATATACGATAATCCTATTCCTGAATAGTGTAATCCGCCACCATCTCTTATAAAAATAAACAGCCTCAAGCATTTTGAGATTACCGAAATCCTAAACTTTTGTTAAAAAGAAAAGATTATAAAGAATCTCGTTTGAAATATATTATTTATTAAATCGATTACAATACACTAACCAAAAAACCTGCAAGCTATCTGAAAGACACACAAAAACTGATCCGCAACTTCCACCATAAATACCCTAACAAACCCAATCCCGCTTGACCGAGCCCGTCTGCCTATAGATTGTAAACTATAATATACTACCTTAACAGAGCTCGATCCTTAGGAGAAGAGTAATATCACAATATAAGCTTACATAATATACTGATTTTATCAAAAAGAATCGAAAAGAACGCTCGCACCGGAACACAAGCAAGCTAAAGCCCGATCGGGCTAGCTCGCTGTGAGAATTCCGTATATCTTCAATTCAGAAGATCCTATATTGTAGCTCTTTGAGCTACATCTTAATCCTCAATCTGAACCTATTACCCGAATCAGTATAGCCTTGCCAGATTAGAGCAAAGTTATTAGAACCCTATCCAGCCCGCCTGCCCGTGATAGTATGTGGAGTTAAATTGTTTATTCTATGACTGATTATTATGCAAGATATATTATATAGTTTAGTAATCTTTCGAATACTTAATTTTTTATTTTTTTGAAGAGTTTCGATGGCTAAAGTAAATGTGCTTTTTTATTTGTAGATTCCATAATAAATGGTTGATAAAACGCGTATTGAATATGAAGAATGCGAATTGAGGTGAAAGTGGCCCACTCGGTGATATGGCCCACTCAGTGATAAACCACGTTATGTGAAGTAGTCGGAAGTGGAGGTCCGAGCACAGCATCGCTTATGTAACATTAGTCTCTGTCTCGTTTGTCCTATGTAGTCTCGTAGTCTCATGAGGTCGCACAAAGTTCTCCCTTCTCAAACCTCTGGATACCCCAATGCACAAATACCAATTTGAGTGATGTTATTGACAAGATCTCCAGCATCAAGGATGCTGTCGTCTCTAAAATTAATGGTAATGCCTGAAGCCAGGTTTTCGAAAGCTAGTGCTTGCTTAGCACCTACATCACGTGTGAGGTACCGAAAACCACGAAGATTAACTCAGGGGTACATGGGTTAGAATGCAAGGTACACACGACTTCCTGGCTCCTTATATTTAGCGATTTCAACACTTATAGAATTGCCAAAACCTTTCCAAACTTTGTACCATAAAGTATGAATCGAATTGACACCAATACCACTGTCGTGATGGCTACATCTCTTGAAGAAAAATCAAATCAGGATCCAAAAACAGTGGCAGAAGTGACGGAAGTCACAACCAATCATGTTGATGGTGCATTGCAAGAAACGAATCTTGAAAATATCGACGAAGTTATAATCGAAGGAAGACCCAAAAAGTCACTTTCTTTTAAGCTTGCTTTTATAGGTCTTGCTGCCAGTATGTTTGTTTTCCAAATGGATGCAACGTCTCTTGGAATTGCCCTCCCAGTGAGCCCCTCTAGATCCCTCACCTCCTTATATTGCAACTATCTCAAGCTTCTATCTTCCTGAAAAAGATTATAAGACTATACTGATGCTCATTCTTCATTTAGACTGTAGCGGAAGAATTACATGGCGAAAGTTTGCAGAGCTTCTGGGCTAACATGTCCTATACTCTGTGCGGTCTCGTCATGCAACCACTTTGGGCCAGTATATCAGATATCTTCGGCCGAAAGCCATCTTTCTATATATGCATGGCATTCTTTTTCATCGGCTCAATCGTTTTTGCGCTTGCAAAGGACATGAATACCATTATCGTCGGTCGAGTGCTTCAAGGATTTGGCGGAGGAGGTATCGACGTGCTTGTGGAAATTATACTTTCGGATATTACAAACTTGAAAGGAACGTTCATTCTATCTTGGATTAATGGCAATCCCCAATGCCGTAGGGAATATTCTCGGACCGTCAATTGGAGCCATTTTGAGCAATTATGCAAGCTGGAGATGGATTGGATGGGTGAATTTGCCAATATTAGGAATCAGCGCGCCTCTTATTGTTTTCTTTCTCCGTTTAAGACCAGTTGAGCTCGATGAAAAATTATCTGCCAACCTAAAGAAACTCGATTGGATTGGTATGATGCTGGTTGTAACTGGTATCACCATTTTTGTCCTACCACTCAGTTGGGCCGGCTCACTTTTCCCATGGAAGTCGTGGCAAACCCTCCTCCCAATACTTCTAGGGGCCGCTTTGCTTGTTATATTTGTAGTATATGAAGCTAAGCCCAAAGTTCCTATCCTGCCTCATCGTCTTTTCCACTCGAGAACTGCAAACATGACCTTGGCGGCGGCCTTCGTACATGGCATGATCCTGATCTCGCTGTTACAGTATCTGCCTTTGTTTTATCAGGCCGTAGAGCTCGAGACAGCGATCCGATCTGCGGTCTCCTTACTTCCCACCGTCATCATTAGTGTAGTATTCGCAGCTATCTCGATGATGATGGTCTCGGTCGTTGGTGGATATGTATGGATCATACGATTTGGCTGGATTATCACAATCCTGGGAACTGGATTGCTAGCACTTTTTGACGTTGGATCTTCGTCATCGCTACTTTTTGGCCTTCCAATTCTTTGGGGAATGGGCGTGTCCTTACTGCGTCTTCTTCTGCTCCCTATTCAGGCAAGCGTGAAAAATGTCGATGATACCGGCTTGGCAATCGGAATTTCGCTGACAATTCGAATGTTCGGAGGTCTCATCGGGCTTACAGTTGCGTCAACGATATTCAACTCTGTCTTTTCTGCTTCCATTGCTTCTATTGAATTGACAGGAACTCTTTCTCGGCTCCACAACCCAAGTAAAGCTGTTTCCTTCATTCCAGAGCTGAGATCTCTGGAAATATCCCCAAAGGTCCTGGATGCCGTTTTGCGAGTTTATCTTGGGTGCTTTAAGACTATTTTCTATACGATGGCAGGGTTTGGAGGTCTGGGTCTTATTACTTCTCTTCTTACTGAAGACCTGGACTTGAACAAGAAGGATGTTGGCCAACAGCGGTTCGAAGAATAATGCACAGAATTTGTCTTAATAATCGTGAACTTAAGGGTTGGATGCGGTAAAGTTGACGTAAGAATAATTAGATGTTAGTTAATTACGAATTTCATTCAATGAGTCCCCGGGAGACAGCGCATAGTAGGCGCAATAAGACAATGTATCACGTGTTCAAGCTTGGCAGATGCGGATCAATGCTACCTTCCCAGAGCAGCATTTGTTTTGCAGACATTTTACTTCCAATTCCCTTCGCACGTCCACAGCATTTTTATCGATAACGATAAGGGAATTACGCAGTGCGATAGGTAGGTAGAAATATGGAGTTCGTGTCTTTTCATTCGTCTCAGCAGTAAATTGGCGAACGATTGTTGCATTGAGGCTGACACACACGTGATGCTGACAAGGTGTCACGCACGAAACATTTCGAGCATCGCAACATGATGACAAACAGCGGCAAGTATTTTTGATTGTCCAACTCAAGAATAGTCTGTAAGTTCTGGAAATCTCACGTATTGTTTGAGAACTTTAACAAATAGAGCCGCGATAATGGCGTCCGTGCAAGAAGCATCAGCAACCTCAATAGCTTTGACAAATCAGAATGACATTTTATGGAAAGAAGCATATGAAAAATTTAAGCACGAAGATTCAGATCTATACGAAAGATTGCAGTCGATCACAAAAAGGATTCCAATGTCAAAAAACAATGTGGGACAAGAACAAGAGCTTGGCGACTTACTCTTTAGGAAAGCATCATTTAATGGAGGAGAAGCAATGGATATTTCATTGGCGAAAGAAAACAATTAAAATTGGACCACAGTTTGATAAGATTGTCAAAATCTTCAAATTGATCAAGCCAATTGGAGACAAAGCCGCTGGACTTGACCCCGTTCATGCGGGAATTCCATGGGCCTATATGCGGTTTTTATTGCCGGTGGGTGTGTGATATTACTCTCTCTTGACCGGAAGCTGATTTTCATAGCTCATTTTGAACCATTCTGAGGAACAGGAGGCGGCATAAATGGGCTACAAAAAGTTGTAGAGATCGTCCACACAATTTACGTCCTTCAACTGGGACTATCTCAATCTCTCACAAGACAAATCGGAGAAGCAATTGAAGGAATCAATCTTGACTCTGTACTGGAAGATACTTTGGTATGAGGCGACCGCAATCTGTAATTTCAACAGACACACAATTCCAAGATACGCTGCATCGATTTTCAGGAAAGATGAGTGGAAAAAGTTTGCTCAGCGAGGTCGAAGATTACAGGAACAGTTTTATGAGCAATTTACAACTAAATGACTCACAAATGAAAAGCAATTCGAAAACGAAGTGAGAGAACTGATTTTGCAGCTAGAAAAGCAATTCGAACACGAACTGAGAGATCTGATTTTGCAGCTAGACAGAACCGATGAAAAAAATCTTGAAGTCATCCAATGGGTATCCGATAAATCATACATCTCACAGCATTACACTGCTCGACAATTACTTTCGCAGTACCCACATGCTGGAGAATGGATTATCGAGAAATATACCAAATGGCTGCATCAAAATGAAAGCGCCTGCTTTTTGGCTACGAGGGACTATTGGAACTGGAAAGACGTCAATCATGTCTACCATCATTGAATCGTTCTATTCTGATGTAGCCAGGCAAGATGATCAGCGCATGATTATTTCTATTGCATCTCACCAACAACATCAGATGATGTTATTCGAAGTCTGGTGTCCCAGCTGGCGTGGACTTTAGATGGCAACGCAATAGAAGCTAGAATCGTTGCCATGTTTGATGATACAAAACCACCTAACCATACTATACCGACAACCGACGAATGGTCGGCCGCGCTTCTAAAATTGTGTCAACGAGTCAGTAAAGTCATTATCGTCATAGATGCCCTTGACGAGTGCGTTGATTTCAGCAAGCTTCTAACAGTACTGAAGAAGCTTCAAGTCAAGCAGCTTGATGATATCAAGTTTGTTTTTTCAAGTCGATTGAACGTGGATGTGGACAAGGTTTTCACTGCATCAGAGGGTGTTATTTTGACCACCGAAGATACATTGAAGGATATGTCTCAGTACATCGAGAACGAAGTGAAATCTAAGGAGGAAGACATTGATTCTAATGACGAGGAAACCAAGCGACGACTCATGGATCGGATAGTGCGAGTTCTATCAGATTTTGCAGGTGGAATGTGGGTTGTATGCCTATCCGACGTATGCAGAGTGACTGACGTAATCTTAGGTTTAAATGGGTCACCTTGCAACTTGCAATAATGTTTCCGATCGAAACTCAAACATTTTTGCCCGAAAATATTGAGATCCGGCTGTTGGATATCGAAAATCGGAACAGTTCCTTGGAGCAATCCTTGAATAGTGCATATGAAATGGTGTATTTGATGAACGCCAAGCCAGGAGCTTACAATACTAGCGTCTTCAAGTCAGTTTGCAAATGGCTATTGTGCTGCAAAACTGCACTGCCCGCAGAAGAAGTTCTCAAAGTTATTGAACTGTCGCTTGATCATGATTCTAAACTCAAGGGAATAACGCGAAGTCCTTTGAGCACAAAAGTTGTCTTGCATGTAAGACAAATCTTGGATGATGGCGCAGCATTATAATAAATACTAACCTGGTTTCAACTAGTGCTGTAGCAACTTTGTTATTCAAAATTCGGATGGAAATTTTCGTTTCGCTCACTTATCGGTCGAGGAGTATCTTATCAATCATTGCGCTGTGAAATTCGAGTTTCAATATGAAGAATGTCATCTTTTCGTGATGAAGATCTGCCTAGATTTCATGGCGCAAGAAAGAACTGATTCAGTTGCAAAGCTAGGGCGCAAACAATATTATTTAGGTGCTGTCATGTCCGACTCTGTAGAGAGCTTTGGGGAGATTTTCACTTTCCAGACATATTCCATCTCTTATTGGGCGTATCACGCCAAAAAATCCACACCGGAAAAAAGATGCAGAGAATCTCTCTATAAACGTTTTGCTCTTGGTGACAGGCTGAGCGCTTCATTAAAGTGGTGGTTTGCTCAGATTGACGCCCGCAATTACTACTCCTCAGAAAGCATTTTGAGCCGGATCAAGGAGACTGCAGACGTGTTATTGGGTCTTCCACGATCAGATCAATATCCGTCCAAGAGTCGTGTTAGAATGCTGGGAGCAGCGTTCAATCTTCCTGAGATTTTGGAGAACGGGATCAACAATCATAAGGAAGAAGTCGATATGCCATTGCGTACTGGTAGCAATCAGACACGGCAGCCCTGATTCAGTGAAGTATCTCCTAGACCACGGAGCTAATCCTACTCGAATATCCGTCGCACATAGACAATGGACAAAGTATGACATTATGGTCAGGCCTGTTAGAGATATGGTGTACTGGGTGACACGTGAAGGTGGCAACAACCAAGAACAGCTTGAAGGTCATTTGCAGGTAGAAAATGTCCTTCTAAATCACGAGAAGAGTCGAAGACATTTTCTCAATCAACTTGAAAGGCATTTGAGAATCGACACCCATCCTGATCCATCGCGAGCTTTGAAGATTCTTTATAGAGCTTCCAACGAGGTACCAATATCCGCAAAGATTTTTGAGTACAGAATCGAAACCAGAGGTCTGGGTGAGCTGGGTGAAGTTCTTGACCTTATAGACGATGAGACTTTTGATGAAGAAATGGTAGCGGAAGTTGTTCGTCGTGATTCTTGTGAAACCGTCAAGAATGTGTTTGGATTTAAAGAGGTCAGCTCGATCACCGAGAAAATTGTTAGGAATGCCCTTGAAAGTTTTGACTCTAAGACCCTCGCATATCTTATGAAGCAATTCGGTCATGATGCCCTAACACGAGAGATAGTGATTAATACAAAGCTTCGATCTCATGAGGTTTGGAAAGTAATACTTGATGTTAAGGGGATTCAGTTCATCAACCAGGAGGTTCTTGGCTCGCTGTTCGACAATTGGGGGGAAGGCCCCGAATCTGTCACCCTTGTTTTGGATTCTTGTGGCATTGATATGGTCGGAAGTTCCCATATTGAAACTATAGCCGGTTCATCATTTTATGCTCTTGAGGCTTTGAATGCTATTCTTCGCATAAGAGGATCTTTGGATGGTTTGATCACAGAGGAAGCGGTTTTTAAAGCTTTTCGACAGGAAAGTTTCGACATGGCAGCAGTTTTGCTAGAGAATGCAGAGGACCTTCCATCATTGTTGACCAAGCAAGTCAAAGAAGTTGCTAAGCAAGGTGGAGATGCTGGGATGCTGGTTCTTGAAAAATTTGTCAACAACACTCGTGATTGATGATTCTGGCTGGAAGTTTTGCAAATTGTACAATTTGAAGCTGTGCAGAGAAATAAGACGGACTACTTTGTTGGGAAGTTTATTTATGGAAGGGTTTTAGGTGAATTCAAGTTTCACGCGACAACAGCCGATATTTTGGCCCTCAAGCAAGAGGTCCAAAGAGTCTAGACTATAGTCCAACAGTTCAGATCTTTGGAAACTTGAAACTCTCTGAAATGCTGAAATTAGTCTAGACATTAAGTTAGTTTTGGTTGTTGAATTCTTTTGAAACAATGAATTACAGGATTGACAATGATATTCTTAAAATCTTAAAGTTAACCTCCACCAGTGGGTGCACGGACTCACGGGACAACGTGACAGGAAAGCACAATTTCATACCAAAATAATTTATTATAATAATTTGATTAAACTTCAGTTTATTATCAAATTCTTTTGAAACTGAGATATAACGTGATTTATCATCGAGTGGATTATATTATCGAGTGAACCATTTTCATTTCAATAAATATAATTAATTTCAACACACAATTATTAATCATTTATTATATAATTTAATAATAAAAAAGTACACTTGTTTTTAATTATCAAATTATCAAAAAACGACAAAAAACTGAATCTTGAAAGGCCCTTCCAATTATATAATATCTCTTATACAACCCTTATCCATAAAATGGATAATTTAACTCCATATTTCGAAATTCAAGCGAATCAATATAAACTTATAGAATTAGAAGAAAAGATTATATTCAATATATTCTTGATATAGATTTAAAAGATTTTTCATTTAAATTTAAGGAAGTAGAAGATATAGCGAATTATATTCTTGAATCGAAAAGTACCAAATGTATTAAAAAGCTTTAAGCATATTGATTTGTAAAGTATTGAATCGAATTAAAGATGTGTTTTAGTTCTGTTTATAATTTTCAAAGAGTTCTTTATAAAGATTCTAAGCTTATTGAAGACTGGTTTTAATTGGTTGTGAATATGTAAGCGAAATTCGGCATTTTGAATAGTGATTTCTATAATTTCAATAAAATAGACTTTATGATAAGTATAATATATTCTGAAATAATTATAATTTAGTACTAAAAGGACCACAGCAGAAGTAAATCAATACAATCAGGCAATCAAGAATAGATTATAGTAATAATATGCGGAAATGGGGAGAGTAAAAAACTATTCCCCCTATTCTAGTGATTCAGAAATAGATTTACCTTTTCAATTAGTATATCGAACCAATCTTTCTGTAAAATGGGCTATTAAATTTATATCTAATGGATGAATAAACAATAAAACAGATTTAAAATAGTTGAAATACTTTGATAAGTATATTAAGAATCAAAGAAAGGACAAATATCGAATATTGGTATTAGATAGGTATAAAAGCTATGAATTAATAGCTTTTCAAGTATACTGCAAAGAGAATAACATTATATATTTAAGTTTACTATTGTATTTAAGTTATTTAATTCAGTTACTTGATATTAGCTGTTTAATAATTTGAAATATTTATATAATAATCAAATTGTCAAGGTATGGGTAAAGACTTATATTATATTATAAGGGTAGAAGAGTTATGAAGAGTGAAGCCCTATTTATAGGAAGTAGAGCGTATAGTATACTGTGCCTGAGGTACGAAGGCAATTACAGATCATATAATTGACGCCGTGACAGTACCCCCGCTCAAGGCAATCAATCTACAATCGCAATACCAATTGACCTTTTAGAAAACAAAATAATACTAAAATACTCTAATTTCTACTATTAGATTAAAATAAACTTTCTTGAAAATAGTAATCAATTACCGGAGCTTTTTAGATCTGCCTCGGCCTCGATTTGGGGGTATGCTTGGTGTAAGTATTAACAGGGGATTAGAAATAGTAGATCTTTTGAAGCCTACCCCAAGCAGGCGGTTCTGGCTTATCTGGATTTACTAAATGGAAAGCGATAATTGTATCTTTCTAGCCGCGAAGATCTTAATAGATTATTAAGATATTGAGTAATATTTCCATTTGATTTAATAATGAAATCCGTTCTCGTTATAATAATCAAATAATTTATCGAATTTCTATCACTCGGTTTCCTTATTCATTTCATTATCTCTTTCTAGGATACAGCCTTAGTTTCAATAAAATTCGGTTTTATTAATCACTTCTTGATTGGCTAATTCAGGTGAGCAATGGAGTGATTGGAATAATGAATTATGGAATACTAGAAAGATCTTAAAACTAATAAGGAGCTGGAATAGACAGACTTGTTTATAAACTTTTAGAATCTTATAGAAACTATCCCATTTATTATTACCTTTTTTCATTAAGTAATTGGTTTTCATATTCTTAATATTAATCTATATTTTGTTATCTTCTTTATATAAAGGAGTATCAGTATAAGTCTTATTAGTATAATTTTTATATCTCTGAATAGATTGAGTAACTAGGACTTTCAATTTTATTAGGATGATATCAAATCAGTCTACAATCTCGTTAGCCTTTAGAAACTCGTATTTACATTGATATAATAGATTTGGGGGAACAGATAAAGAGAACTCAATACCAAAACATGAATAAAAATCATAGTTAATGAAGAATAAGGATACACCGATAATCTCTAAGATAATATTATTAAATACAAACTCTGCGAATAGAAGCTAATCATACTAATCATCTTAATAGAAATTCATAAAAGCCTGAAGATATTGTTCTACCATAACATTAATCCTCTTTATTTATCCATCAGATTCGAAATGGAACAAAAAGAATCGTTTCAAAATGATCAATAGACACTCAGATAAGTACTTCCAGAATTCTAATATAAATTGTAAATCTCTATCGGATATTATATTGTCAAATGCACTGTGTAGACAGTAGACTTTTTCGATAAATCGATTGGCAAGCTCCTTTGCGGATAATCCTATAACCGGGATGAAATAATGTATTTTTGTTAGATAATAAATAACTGTAACAATATATTGATGCTTTTTGCTATAGCATTCACTGATTGATAATAGTATAATGTAATCAATAAAAATATCGGACCAGAAGCGGAATAGTATTAACAAGGGTTTTAGGAATCCGGGTACAGCAAGATGAGAGGCTTTGGTTCGGAAGTAGAGTTGATAGGTTTGTATATAAGTTTCGATTTCCCTCAACATATTAAGCTATTAGTATATACGGGAGACGAGATCAATAATTTTAATTCGATTAGGATGTCCTGCTGGATTAATGGAGTGCGTTCAATATATAATCTGGATATGAAGTTTAGCGAAAAGGGGAACAAAGAGATAATCACAATAGAAAATTTTATTATTAATTAATCTACAATTTTGAAAAGCAATTCAAAGGTTTTTTCGGATTGATAATGATTAATGACAAGCAATTGGGTTTTGAAGTGTTTTATATATAGTAGTAACCAATTCGGATGATTTATATGCTTTATTAATAAGATTATCGATTAGCTTTTTAATATCAGGGATAATTATATTTATAGATATTGCAATAAGATCGATATCGTTATTTGTTTGTCAAATAAGATCCTTAAATATAGTAATATCAAATACTCTTTTTGAAAGGATTGTTTGTAAGCGATTCTTGATTCGATCATTATTAGGGTTGGTATGTACAAAGCAATCTTTTGTTTTCTTACTCAATATATCAGAGCGAATTGCTTTAAGACCCAGTTTGTATATGATACAAAAATTGAAACCAGCCAGGAATTCAGCTTATCTAGCTTATCTTTGATTCAATATTTTTATTAATATAAAGTATTTTAGATTTTTATAATCAGTAATAATCTTGAACGGTTTTTGAATTCCATATAGTTCAGGTCTCCATTCTTTTAAGAACTTGATGATAACTAGTAGTTCCTTATTATAAATCTCATAGTTACATTCGGTAGCGCTGTGTTTTGAGGAGAAGTATGCAACCAGGCGTAGTCGGCCCTCATCGTTATATTGAGAGAATACTCTGCCCGCAGCCCAGTTGAAAGTATCTATCTCGATAATTGTACAGCAATGATAATCAAATATTACAAAAACTAGAACGGAAGCAAAAATATACTTTAGGTTTTCAAAGGCATTCTCTTGATTAACAATCCAATTCTATATATTCTCTTTTTTCAACAAACAGTTTAAAGATTCTATAATTTTAAAAAAGTTGTAAATAAAGTATCAGTAAAAGTTGACAAACCCTAAAAAACATTAAAGATCTTTTAACTTAATTAACGATTTCCATTTGAGGATAGTCTTAATCTTGTTAAAGTCCATCTCGATACTATTAGAAGTAATAATCAGATTGAGATATTTCGTTTTTCTTATTTCGAATTTGTATTTGTTAATATCAATTTGTAATCTAGTATCAATAAATCTTTAAACAATTTCGTGAACTTATTTTTGATAATCTATAACATTCTCAGAATAGATCAAGATATCGTCTAGGTACGTTGTACAATTCTTATCCAGGAGATCAAAAAGAATATAATTGATATAGTTCTGAAACAAGGCAGGAGTATTGCAAAGGCTGAAAGGTATTACCAGAGATTCGAATAAGCCGAAACGAGTTATAAAAACAATTTTCTATTTATGACCTTCTGTAATCCATAATTTATTGAACACAGCGATAATATTCAATTTAATATAAACTTTAGTATAATATAAAATATCAAGGATTTCTTTAATTAATAGCAGCAAATAACGGTTCTTAATAATAACATTGTTCAGTTTACAATAGTTTTAACAAATTCGAATACCCCCCCCAGGCTTTACAACTAGGAGGAATGGGGTGGCCGATCAAAAGCGGGATTTGCGAATGAATTCTTTATTTAGGTTATTATCAAGCCATTTGCGAATAACTTAGAGCTTGACTGGGGATATTGGATAACCTTTATTGTACAAAGGCTTTTTGCTTAGCATGATCTTGATCTTGTAATCCCAAAAGTGTTATAGCGGGAGTTTGTTAGTGAGGGAGGATAAGAATCTAGTGAACAGATTGTAAAGCCAGGGTAAT